TAGGTTGGCCTCAAACTTGTGATCCTTCCACCTCAGTCTCTAAAATAATGGGATTATAGGTATGTGTCACCAATGTCTGGTTTCATAGACTTCTAAAACAATTGTATTCTGTTGTTGTGATCAGTAGGTTTGTGTGTGTTTGTTGGTGATTGCTCTAGTTTTGTTCTATTGCTATGACAAATACCTCGAGCAGAAGCTACTTAGGGGATACAAGGGTTTATTTGGCTTTTGCTTCTAGATCAGTTTATCATTGATGTAAGAAGTTAGGGCAGGAACTTAAGCAGAAACCAGGGAGGATCATGCTTAACCAGTTTTCTTTTCTTTTCCTTTTTTTTTTTTTGTGTGTGTCTTTTTTGAGACAGGGTCTCCCTGTAGTCCTAGCTGTGCTGAAATACACTATGTAGACCAGGCTGGCCTTGAACTCACAGAGATCCAGGTGCCTCTGCCTCCCAAGTGCTGGGATTAAAGGTGTGCGCCACCACTCCCAGCCCACAACTAGCTTTTTCATACATTCAGAGACCACCTTCCCAGGGAATGGTACCACCCAGAGAGGACTGGGCTCTCCCACTTCATTAACACTCAAGACAATCGCCCCCAGGCCAATTTGATCTGGGAAATCCCTCAATTAAGTGTCCTCTCTCAGGTCTGAGGTGGTAGCACGCCTCTAGGGAGGTAGAGCCAGGCGGATCTCTGTGAGTTCAAGGCCAACCTGGTCTATGTAGTGAGTTCCAGGCCAGTTGGGGCTACAGGGAGACCCTGTCTCAAAAAGACATCCCCAAAAGTGTCCTCCCACCTCAGAGCCCGGCATGGTGGTGCACACCTTTAATTCCAGTACTCTGGAGGCAGAGGCAGGTGAATCTCTGTGAGTTCAAGTTCAGCCTGGTCTACATAGCGAGTTCCAGGCCTGCTGGGGATATAGAGAGACCCTGTCTCAAAAAGATAACAAAAGAGTTCCCTCTCAGGTGACTCTAGACTGTGCCAAATTCACATGAAACGCTAACTAGGACGTTCCACCCTTTGTCTACTTGAGACTTAAGCACATCAATGTAAACACTTTAAACCATAGCCTTTCAAGTCAATGTCTAAGGTTTCATGTCAATAACATTAATCCCAATGCTTCAAAAATCCAATGTCTATTGTGAGCTCCTGTCTAAAAAAAAAAAAAAAAAAAGACGCATATTTTTTATTCCAAAATGGAAGAACCAGGGCATAAAGGCAATCATACTTAGGCAAAACCAAAATTCAACAGTGTAAACCCAGATCCTGGAGCTCAGTGCTCAACATTTCTATCTCAGTTGACTTGTAGTCTTCTGGCTCCAAAAGCCTTGGGCCATCCCACTTCTCCAGCTCGGCGGTCCACAGCACACACACCTTCTCAAAGGCTCAGGTTAGCACCACTCTGTACCTGCTGCTGTTCTTGGTAGACATCCCACAGTCCTGGCAACTTCAGTATCCTGGGGTCTCCATTGCAACTGAGGCTGCACCTTCAGCAATGGCCTCTCCTGCACTCTCCACAGGGACTTCAACCCTTCCACATGGTGCCAACCTGCAGCTGCTCTCTATGATTCCTTTATGCCTTCAAAACCAGTACCACCTGGGTGGCTATTATATACTATTTTCCAAGTTCTGCTTTGAGCTCAAAATGCAGCCTGGCCCCCTTGGATCAGTTCTCTCTGCTGGCTCTGTGGAAATACCTTCCCAAGTCTCAGTGGAGCACAGAGGATTTCATTCAATGGTGCTTATTTCTTTTTTATTATTATTTTATTTATTATTTTTATTTTATGTGTATGCATGCATTGCCTGCATGTAGGTAAGTGCACCTGTGTCATGCAATGCCTGGGGGTGGGGGGCGGACAGAAGAGGCTGTCGGAGCTCCTGGAACTGGAGTTAGCTGCCATGTGGGTGCTGGGATTCGAACCTGGTCTTCTGCAAGAACAGTCAGTGTTCTTAACTGCTGAGGTGCTTATTTCTTTGAATCACCAGCTGATTCTTCAACCCCAGCTGACCAGCACACACAGATTCTTGTTTTTCATTTTATTAAAAAAAATTTATTGAATTTTTATGTATTTCATACAAAAAAATCATCTTTATACCTTCTTCTCCTTTGGCATCCTCCCATAGACCCCCTACTGGAGTTCATATATTCTGTCATTGTTAAGGCCTATCATGTAAAGTCAGTGTCCCTCAGTGCAAGTCCATCCACTGGGATTTAGTCAGCCTATCCAGAGTCCCTCCCTTCAAGAAGATCAACTCTTTCTCACCCAACAGTAATCAGCTGCCAATACTTCTTTGACTAAGACTGAGGCCTGCTGTTCACTTCCACAGTTCTGTGCTGGGTTTTTGTCTGCTTAAGTTTGCGTGGGTCTTATGCATGCTGACACCATTGTCATATGAGAAGGGTTGAAGATTTTTTTCTAAAGATTTGTTATTATTTTTAATTCTCATTCTCTCTCTCTCTCTCTCTCTCTCTCTCTCTCCCTCCCTGTCTGTCCCTCTGTCTGTGTGTTGGTATGTGTATGTGACTGTAGGTACCCTCAGACACCAGAGGCATCAGATCCCCTGGAGCTGGAGTTACAGATAACTATGAGCTGCCTCACATGGATGCTGGGAAATGAACTTGGATCCTTGGCAAGAACAGTATGGGCTCTTAGCTTCTGAAATATCTCTTCAGTACAACTCCCCATACACGTGGAGTCTTAATCCAAAATATCACAAAAATTGCCAATAGTTGGGAGTCTTTGCTTCTCCCATACAAGCCAGGCCTCCACACACATGTTTTTATCAGCCCTCAAATCTTCTAAGCCAATTCACTTAGTTCTGATAATCCAATGGGTTTTCTGACTTAAGAGTTTAAAATGGTTCTATAATCCACGCCCGCCCCCGCAAATAGTCCAAGACACAATCTAAAGTCAAGTTCATCATAGCATCACCCCACTTCTCTGGTACCAAGTAGTGTTCTAGTTTCATTCTGTTGCTGTGACAAATACTAACAAGAGCAACTTATGGGACATTTGTTTCAACTTACAGGATACAGTCCATCACTGAAGGAAGTCATGGCAGGACCTCAAGCAGGAACTTGAGGCAGAAAACATGAAGGGATACTGTTTGCTCTCTTGCTCAGTCTCAAGCTTAGCTAGCTTTCTTATACAGACGAGAAATTGCCTAAGAATGGTGCCATCCACAGTGGGCTGCGTCTTCCATGTCAGTTAGTGGAGGCAATCCACACAGACATGCCCACAGGCCAATTTGATCCGGAGAATCCCTCAATTAAGACTCCTCTCTCAGGTGACTCTAAGCTGGGTCAAGTCGACAATTTAAGCAGGGCAATTTAAATTGTTTAGTTCTGTATTCTTTTGAATTTCTGTCCAGTAGCTTTATCAGTTCTTAAGACAGTGATGTTTATAACTCATTTATAATTGTAGATTTGCCTTATTTTCCTTTTAGTTTGACCAGGTTTTGCTTTATTAATCTTGAAGCTCCATTGTTTTGTATATAAATATTCAGAATTGGACTGCCTTCTTGGTGGACAGACTCCCTTAACATTATAACTCCCTTGGTAAGATTCTTTGATCCGAAATCTACTTTGTCTGAATATTGCTACTCATGCTTGATTTTGGTTGATAGTTGTATGGTGTATCTTTTCCAGACTTTAACAGACCTAGATCATTATTTTTCTAGACAGCACATAGGTGAGTCACATTTTTTAAAAAAATCCATTCTGGGGGCTAGAGAGATGGCTCAGTGGCTAAGAGTGCTGGCTGCTCTTGCGGAAGACCTGGGTGCTCTTGAAGAAGACCTGGGTTCAGTTACCAGCACCCATATGGCAGCTGAAAACTATCTATAATTCCACTTCCAGGGGATCTGACACCCTCTTTTGACCTCCATGGGCATTGCATGTACATGGTGCACTTACATACATGCAGGCAAAACACTCATGAAATTGCAATAAATAAATAAAAAAAGTTTAATCCATTCTGCCCATTTTCTATTTATGTATTCATTGTTATTTTATATGTATGAGTGCTTGCCAGCATGTATAAATGTATACCATGTGCATGCAGTGCCCATGGGGGCCAGAAGAGGACATCAATATCGCCCTGGAAATAGAGTTAGGGGTGGTTGTGAGCTGTCCAGTGTGGGTGCTGAGAATAAAACTCTGGTCCTCTGTAAGGGCAGCATGTTATCTTAACCACTGAGCCATCTCTGCAGCCCCTACCTTTCCATTTGTCTTATAATCCGTGTATTTACACCATTTACATTTAATGAAATTATTGATCTATTATAGCACAAGACTGGCTACTTTGTTTCTCTTTTGATTGTTCCTTTAATCGCCCAACCCCCTTTTTCAATTAACCTGACTTCCTACAAGTTGTCTGAACATATTTTAGAGTTCAACCTGCCTTATGCCTAAGTTGTGTGTGTGTGTGTGTGTGTGTGTGTGTGCATGCGCCCTTGCGCGCGTGTGCACGCCTGTGAGCATACTGAGGGAAGAGGAGGGTTTCAGGCATCCTCTATCACTGTCCACCTTATTCCTTTGAGGCAGAGTCTCTCTCTGAATCTAGAGTGTTCATTTCCTTGGGTAGGCTGGCAAACAGCAAGCCCTAGTGATCCTCCTGTCTCCACCCACTTATGTGCTGGGGACTGGTTGTTACCTGGGCACTAGGATCTGAACTCGGTCCTCATGCTTGCACAGCAAGTGCATTTAACTGCTGAGCCATCTCTCCAGGGCTCATCTTTAGTGTGTGTGAAATGATTTCTTGTGTACAATTTTCAGTGGCTGCTCTAGGCATTCTACCTGGATTACCTCATAGTGCTTATTAATATCAACATTTCCCTGCTCTTGAGTAAGGTGCAGGAAACTATGGGTTCTTTTACCCCTCCTTGTAACAAATTGTCTTAAATACTCCCCACCATTGACAGATGTAGCATTGAAGTCAGAGGCCTCCATGTCGCACTCGTCAAGATTATGTGACCTGGGAGAGGAGACTGAACACGTTTTCTCAGTAGTCGTTCATCTTGGTTACCTCACAGTAGAACAGTTCTAAGCTCTGGAGGTTCTCTAACTTTTTCTACAAATGGAAAAAGAGAGTCAATGGTGAGATCAATTTGTGGAAGGTGGGTGGGAAGGGAAAACACCCTAGGAAAATGCAGGGTACCACAAGGCAGTACAGACAGCCTAAAAACTACAGTTCAGGGGCTGGAGAGATGGCTCGGTGATTAAGAGCACTGACTGCTCCTGCAGAGGACCAGGGTTCAGATCCCAGCAGCCACAACATGGTGGCTAACATCTGTCTATAACTCCAGTTCTAGGAGACCCAACACTCTCTTCTGGTCTTGGTGGACATTGCATATATGTGGTATACTCACATACCTGCAGACAAGACCTTCGTACACATAAAATAAGTATTTTTTTTAAAAAAGGATTACAGTGGACAAAAGGAATGTAGATATGTGTTTTTGTGTGTGTGGGTATACAATGTGTATATGTGTATTCATTTTTGGAAGTTTTAAGTCAGATTCAGGGATCCTCCTTTATTGCTGTCTACCTTATGTATTTATGTACTTATTTGTCTATTTATTTGAGACAGGAGCTCATATTTGAACCTGGAGCTCATAACTTCAGCCAGACTGACTGGCCAACAAGCCCCTGGGATCCACCTGCCTACAATCCCTTAGCACCGAAGGGTACATGGTACTTTTATTCCACAATTTCGGCTTTTATCCTAACAATGCGTGGCTTGAAATAATCCTAGGGCCCTCTTGATGTTCAGGTGGAGAGCTCTGATGCAGCCCTGTGACCAGAAGCCCAAGGGGAATGAGAAAGAAATGAACAAAGGCTTGCATCTAAGTAATCACTACCAAGGCAGGCAGCACAGCCGAGTTGGACCCCAGGACGCTCCAGACTAGGGCCCATTCTCCACTTCATGCTGGCTGCCCATTCCGGTCAGGTGACTGTGATCAAACCCTGAATTTCTTGGAGCCTCAGTTTCTCCATGGACTGAACAGAAATAGTAGTTCCCATCTTAGCTCACAGCATAGAATGAGTCAAAGAAATGGAAATGAGGGAAAACAAGCCCAAAACACAAATGTGAAACTAGAGTCCCCTACCCCATTCCCCGCTGCCCCCAAGGAGAGGGGAGGACCCCGAGTGACTCACCAGTGGCTCTATTGTGCTGAGGTCTTTTATTTTGTTGCCACTTAAGTTTAGATGCGTTAGGTTCGGACACTTTTCTGCCAATACTTCCAGGCCCCCTGAGATTCTGTTATCGCTTAGTTCAAGCTAAACGAGACAGGGAGAAAAGCAGCAGCATTTAACATGGAGCCTCTGGGCCCAGAGTCTGCCTCCCAGCTCTCCCCACACAGCAGGAAAGGAACGTCCTTTGGGAACTGCCTGGCATGTCAAAGCCTACACCTGGCCTTACCCTCAATTATGCTCCCTGAGCACAAAGTACAACCCCAACCCCTCCCAACATCCATGCTGTTTACCTTCTTGAGTTTGTTTAACTTTGGTAAGTTCGCAATAGAGGTGAGGCCTACATTGATTGTACTTAGGAATTCCAGTTCTTCAAACTCATCTGTGAGGCCCTTGATTTTGCCTTCAGTTGACCGACAGTTGTCCAGGACAAGCTCCTTCACCTAGGAAGGGAAGGGTGTCATGAGTGGGAGTGGAGAAGGGCCAGGGAAGCCCACTCGGGGGAGAGGAGACATGCACAAAATGCCACTTCTTCCAGCTCTTCCAGACCAGAGCTGCTGCGGAATGCAGGGTGCCGGCCAACCTTGGTCTTTCTGCTGTCAGCAGAACTGAGGCAGGGGAATGTGGGGCGAGCACACCTGCAGAGCTGGGAAGTCACTCTGGAGAGCACAGCCAGGATGCTCTCCCACTACTGAGGTTGTGGGAGAGGGTTCTTACTGCAGCCTCCTGCCACATGCTCTTCAACCCCAATGTACAATGAACATCACAGCCCCTGCTCCCCCAGGGCACCAGCCACAGCACTGTCAGCCTGGCATCCAGGCCTACAAATGCCCCAGCTGGACCACCCACTGGAGGCAGGCTACTCACTTCCCATGCCCCGCCCCCACCTTCTCCCTCTGCAGTCCATAGCTCTCTACTCATGGCTTTCACAAGGCATGCTCGTGCTCACTCTCGCTCTAACTCCTTCCTTCAGCCTCGACCTGCCCACTGACGCCTGGCTCTCAACAGTGCAGTTATGTACCTGGCCTGCTGTACCATGGGGGAAGCAGACCAGGACCTTGCCCTATTTCAACGCCCATCCCCAGACAGTCCAGCAGAAGTTCTCCGTATGAAGGAAACATTTGGTGCTATCCAAGAGCAGAGTCACAAGCCATGTGTGGTCCTGAGTTTTTGTGACAAGGATGGCAAGCCTGAGGAACTGGGCCTTTGGTATTATTTAATCTTTAAAAAAAACATTTTATCATTTTTATTTTATGTTCATGAGTGTATTGCCTGCATGTGTTTAAGTGCACCCATGTCATGCAATGCCCAAGGAGATCAGAAGAGGGCATTGGGTCCCCTGGAACTAGAGTTACAGGCAGTTGTTAGCTGCTATGTGTGTGCTGGGAATCAAATCCAGGTCCTCTGTAAAAGCTGTCATTGTTTTTAACCGCTGAGCCATCTCTCCAGCCCCTATTTAATCTTTTAAAAAATTTTGTTTATGTGTATGTATTTGTCTGCCTGTTTACCACAGGCATGTAGGCACTCCTGGAGGCCAGAAGAGGGTGTCAGATACTTCGGAACTGGACTTACATATAGGCAGTTGTGAACTGTCATGTGGGTGCTGGTAACTGAACCCAGGTCCCCTGCAAGAGCAGCAAATGCTCTTAACCACTGAGCCATCTCTCCAGTCGGTGTTCTTCAGTTTTAAATGTAGAGATGCGAGGCACTTTCGCTGCAAGGCCCAGCTCATCCATGTGTTCCTCAGCCCCTGCCCACAGGTATAGATGAGGAAACGCATACTCCTAAGATGTTTCAGCGAGGGCTGACAAGACCCCAGGAACAACTCTAGAGGCATTCCTGTAAGCCTGTGTATCCTCACCCATTCCTGGTTCTGATGTGGGCCCTTCATTCCTGATGGGTGGAACAAAAGAGTAAAAGCCACTCTAATGAGAAGGTTCAGAAGCCAACTTCACAGCAGAGGACCAGCTAGTTCCAGTGAACACAGAGGGTTTGGACGACAGGCCAGAGGAAGGCTAGTGGGGCTCCTGTACAATCACAAATGTTCTAAGGGGTTGGCAGGGAGACTAGGGCAGTTCTAGGCAAGGCAGGAGCTTGAGGGACCCAGTCCCGTGAGTCTGGAAGGAACCTTTATTACCTGGTGATACAGAGCCTGAGATTAGATCTTCACATGAGCTGGGCAAGCACTCTCTCACTGAGCTATATCTCTATCCCATTTCATTTTATTTCCTGTTCCTTTTTACTTTGACACAGTGTCTAAGCGGCCCAAGCTGGTCCTGAACTCACTCTCCCAGGAGTGCTGAGTTGACAACTGAAGCTTTCCAGCACACAGGCCTGGCCTGGCTGGCAGGCACAATGTGTTCACAAAGTCTACTCCCTCCTACATCCAGTCTCGATTGAGAAGTTAACTTATTATTGTTAATAAACGCAATTCAACGTTCACACTGTTCAAGGAATGAGTCCTAAGAGGATACAAAAGACACTGTGGGATGGCAGGGCCAGTGTGGAGGGTTGGTGTGGAGGACCAGCCAGCAGCAATGCCCTGTCCTGCTTTTGTAACCAATTGTCCCATTGATTCCTTGTGTTTTTGTTTTGGGTGGCACTGGGGTTTGATTTATAGGCATCCACCATCACATTTGGTCTTAAGTGGCACTGGGTACGGAACCTAGGGCTTCATGCATACTAAGCAAGCACTGTACTACTGAGCTATAACCCAAACCTTGTTATACTTTTTAACACAGGATATACCTAAGCTCCCCAGGCTGGCCTGAAACTCACTCTGTGGCCCATCCAGGCAACCCTCCTGCCTCAGCCCCTTGAGTTATCTAGAATTAATAGGCTTGTGCCATCAGGCCCAACTCAATTCACATTTTACCTTCAAAGGGTCTCAGAGTGATCCTTGGAAATAACAGTACTTGTGATCAGCTGGATTTCAAGTTGCAAGTCCAGCATAGGTTATCATGCTGTCTGCTCAAATGTCACCTCCTCTGGGAAGCCTTCCTGGGTCACAGCTTTGTTTTCAAAGCACTTACAGATGCCTTTCAGGAAGTTTCCTGATTCCCCCAGAAAGGAGGCCCACAGAAAATGTGCTTTTCTTCCCTAGTACCATATTCAAAAAGCCTACAACGGACATGGGATAAAGCAGGCAATTCAATCATCATGGGTAAAAAAAATGATATTAACATACCCAAGGCTGGGTGGTCAGCAGAGGAGAGAAGATTCCTTCCCTTTACTGCCATTTGTCATCAGCATCTGGGAGACTCAGTTAAGTCATATAAAAGTGGTTAACATCACACACACAGGGCCAGGAGCTGCTCAAAACTGGGACATTTGTGCCAATAACCCTCCTGGGCTAATGCATTTGGGGAACACAGGTCTGTGTTCTGGTATGGTGGGCATTATCCAGACAACGATCCCACCTTGCCAGGGTCTATGGCCACTTGTCTTCTGCCACTCCTGACAATGATCACACTGGCCACAGAAATGGACACAAGGTCCCCAAGTGCTCACAGAGATCAAACGTGTGCCCTGGATCCAGTACCCCCAGAGCTTTAGAGGACAGGCAGCATTCTAATTCAGTTCCTGCCACCCCATCCAAAAACAGCAGCCCAGAGGGCTTTTTGAGAAATCTTCTCAGACTCACAGACACACCCCAAAGTACAGAGAGGCCAGAATGTACCCAAGACACAACCAGGACTGTCTGCAAGAGAGCTGCAAACTAAACTGAGCGCAGGAGCGGAGCTGCTTGCTATGAATGCAGACCAACCTCTGCAGAGGCGTCACCAGTTTTCCAGAGCCAGCTGGAGAGGCCAGCACAGATGGACACTCCCTTAGGCCATCCATGTCCAGGGAACACCAAGTCTCCACAGTGAGATGAGGGATGCAGTAAAGAAGGCTGGAAACAGCCCTGCATGTGGATGAGTCCCTTCCCACAGACAGCTGGGCAGGAGGCTGAGGAGCACTTCTGCCACCACAGAACTTTCCAGTGGCCCCAGCTATGGGGAAAATCACACTGGGCTCCTCACACCCTCACTGTGCCCTTTAGGAGGTGTGCAGAGAAACACTGGCCAGACCAACCAAGAGGAGAGCCACCAGTGCACACCCCAGTGAGGTGCTACAGGAATCTGCTGAGGAGAACACTGCTCCATTCCCTGGATGTCACTGGGATGGATGCGCAGGGTTCCTTTCCTCCAGTAGGACTTTCTGGGAAGGGTCCTCTCAAGAGCTGTTAGAAAGATAAAGGCTGGGAGAAGGGGGCCCAAAGCTCTGTGGAGAAGCAGGAAGGCTGATACCCTGAGACAGTTACTACTGAAAAGGCCCCACAGGCAAGCTCCAATCCCCAGGGGGGGCCTGAGCAGAGTATGCCTGCAGATTGCCTGACACCCTTCCATTCCCACCTCGACACAAACTGGAGGCTCTGTCCTTTCCGTGGATCTCCCCTCTGCTTTTGCAGCTGCATGTGAGGTTCCTTCTGGGCAGGACAGCCGCTCCCATCACACAGCAGACACCCACCACAGCCTTTTTCAGAGGGGCTGGTCCCCAATCAAACACTGAGTCTCCCTTCAACCTCTTGGTGGGAATCCAGCCTTCAGCCTCCTACAACACACCTGGCATAAACTATGTTTCCTTCAGTCCTGACAACAGCCTGGGAAAAGGCAGAGCTGTTATTTACCACTTTATAGAGGTGGCAACCCATATCCAGAGGGGACCTGCTGATTGTCCCCTGCACCTGAACACTTTGCTTGGAAACCCTGCTTTCCTACCAAAGGGCCACTGGCCCTTTTATCCCTTCTATCCAGTGGTTTTGTTTTATTTGTATGTGTGTGCTGTATGTGTTTACATGGGCATGTGCATAGAGACGAGGGTCAACATTGGGTGTCTTCCTCAATTGCTCTCCAGCTTATTGTCTGAGGCAGGGTCTCCCACTGAACCTGGAGCCACTGATTCAGCTAGGCTGGGTGACCAATGAGCTCCCCTTCTATCCAGTGGTTTTGTTTTATTTGTATGTGTGTGCTGTATGTGTTTACATGGGCATGTGCATAGAGACGAGGGTCAACATTGGGTGTCTTCCTCAATTGCTCTCCAGCTTATTGTCTGAGGCAGGGTCTCCCACTGAACCTGGAGCCACTGATTCAGCTAGGCTGGGTGACCAATGAGCTCCAAGGATCTTCCCGTTTCTGCCCCACCCCCTGCCCAACAGTACTGGGATTACAGACATGTACCACCACTCCCAGCTTTTATATGGGTGCTGGGGACGGTCAGGTCCTCATGCTTGCACAGCAAGCACTACCAACTGAGCCATCTCCCCAGGCCCCAAGTCCAGTAGCAGCCTCATGGGATACAGGTACATAAACAACCACAGGCGTGAGAAGCACAGTGCAGGGGTGAGTAAATTTGGTGTAGGTGTGTGCATGTGCGTGTGGGTCTGTGTGTGTGTGTGTGT